AGTTATATCATCTTCAATGCACATTTTGACTTTTAACTCTTGTGCATAAAAAATAGCTAAACTTAAAGCTAAATTTTTATTTTATTTTGAATCGTAAACCACCGTACCATGTACATTTATCCATGATATAAAAAACCATCATCGACGTTCTCCTTGTTGATTCCACGATAGAAGCATCTTGAGTGATACAAAGCCAAGTCTTACAAACAACAATATCTTCTTCATGAGAAAATGATGGACCTCTTGCTCTTTTGATTTCCTAGCTCGACTACGTGTGTTTTCCATAATATGACGAGGCTAAATAGATTAAATGTAATTCGAATAAAAATAAAGGTTTGCATTTGTAGGAGAGTTTAGAACTAGTCGTCACTACTTTTCGTCAAGATATAGATTATGGGCGTTGAATATATGTTAGGTGCAACTCTTTCAAAGAAAAAATGACAGCAACTATTTGAAATTAAAGTCATTAAGCAAGAATTTTATTGTATACCATTGAATGATGACAACAACTATTTGTAGTTTGGTTCGAACAGTGATCTCTTGTTTGACTGGACACTCGCTCACTTGGACACCTATGTGCTTGGACACCCATTCGTTCGAGCACTTACAAGACTGAACACCCACAAGCTCGGACACCCTTAAGCTCGGACCTTGACTCATAGACCTAACTTGTGGACCCAACTCAAAGACCATATGTATGGTCCCGACTTAAAGACCTAATGTGTGGACCTGACTTGTGGACCGACATAAAGAACTAATATGTGAACACGACAAGCAGATCATGCTTATGTTGAGAATCAACTCATAATGAGTGCACAATGAAGCAAGTGCATACTTGCAATGAGGAATGCCACCAGCTGAGTTGTCTCAGAACGAGCATAGCCTCTAACCGCTCAATTGCCTCGCCGCTAGCACTGTCTCTAGTCGAGCAGCCTCGCAACTTGTTTTACTTTTTGCCGAGTATTGCTTCATGATGAGCACCGCCTCATGTTGAATTCGACCTGCACATGGATTGGATTTGAAGTCTTTAGCCAAAAGACTCTATTGACTAAAGACTTAGGGGACTCCTGTTGTACCATATATGGGGTCTCAATATTTGGACCTCAATGCATAGCCCATGATGTATGTATGAGAGAAGGGAAACTCTTAGTCTACAAAAGGAATCATTCACCCTCACTTTAGGAAGATGGCAAACCTAGCTTCTTTAACAACAAGCCTTCATATACAATGTAACTCTCATTTTAACTGGATCGACACCAGTGTGGGCATAGCCCCCACTTGTGGTGAACCACTCTATGTTGTTGTGTTCTTGTGCGTATGTGTGATTTATGATCGAATTTAGTTGGTCCAAGATCGACCCCGATTTTGTGCATCAACAAAGTTGGTCATCACTTTTTGAAATGATAATTATATTTTGTGTAATTCAATGAGGATCTTACTTTTAACCGAATGATTGTGTCAAATTTAGAGTCAAATATGACTTTTGACTCTAAATTATTCAGCCTATTAGAGATAGCCTTATAAGTTTACAGGTTGTTTAAAGAATTTGACATAGATTTTTTTTATACTATTTCAAATTTCAAAAAGAGAGAGAAAAAAGGGAGATAATTCTCTAATGTAATTTGCATCTGTTGCAGTCATATTTAGAATATGAATATGATTGTGTAAATTCTAGTAGATATAGGAATATCTTTTATATTCCTATTAGGAGTTGATTACCTATTAAGAGTTGTAATCCTAGAAAGGTAAGGATTTTACCTATCCTACTACTATAAATAAAGGCACAATGGGGCAATACAACACACACCTCACAATTAAATCTCTCTCTTCTCTCTTGCTACCGCCGACCCTTCCCTCTCTATTCCTTTAGAATAGCTTAGTTAAATAGGCCTACAACACGTTATTAGCATGTTCTTGCCAGAAGCTGAGGAACTAACTAATCGTAGGAGGAAGCTATCTTCCACAAAATCCAAAGGCTCTTATTTGTTTTCTGCTAATCAGGTACACTTAAAATAAAGAAAGATATTTGAAACGTCCACAAAGCATGCAAACATTCCCCATGATGCATGAACCCCTCTATGTTTATATTTTCCTTATAATATATATTGTATATGTTTCATATATTTGTCAATCATATGTTTCATGCATTACACAATTAAATTGCTATGTGGAATTGTGAGTCAAGGAATATAAAAAAATTAGAAGCAATTTAGTGTTTTTAACCCTAGAACTCGAAAAAAAAAAAAGGAAAAATTTGGGAATTTTTTTTTACGGCACCACTATGCTGGCTTGAAGCCTAGCCATGTGATGACAAACTCTTGGGAAGACGTCGTTTCGATGTCCCTGGACCATGTGTGCAACCCTCTAGGCTTGTTGCATCTCTTAGACCCAACCATGCTTTGGCCTGGATTGTATGCTAACACAGGCCTGCAACCCCGATCCAATCCAGCCCAAACTCACATGCTAGAAGCATGCTGGGCTTGTCCCCTGACATAGGCTTGAAGCCCCGATCCACTCAAGCTTATTTCAGCACAGCCCGTAGCTTGCTGGGCTTGGCCATGCCACAACCCGTGACACTAGAAGCCAGCCTAAATGGCTAGGCTTGTCCCTGCGGCCTAAAACTGAAACCCAGTTGCGACTAGAGTTTCCTCGCTCACCCGCAAGCCTTTGGGCTTGCCCTGTGCACATGGCATGGCCCAAAATGCCAGCAGATTTGCTATTGGGCTTCCCACCCGCTCTCCCGAGGCCCAATACGCCTACAGCCAAACCTGCAGGGCCCTTGTCCCATATTATTTTGCTTCCATGATCGACCTCGTTTGGTCCCGATCTATTGAATTAATTAAAACCGACCTGCAGTCCATTAATCTGATTATGAATATAAAATTATTGACCTGAATATCACTTTTGGACATTAACGATTCAATAATTTATTTTTATACTTTGAACTGTTGACATACTTTCGTAGTCCCCAAGCTCTCACACTTGGGTTCCCGAAGAAACTCAAATCCACTACACCATATTGCATTCTATGTTTCTTGCAGGAACCTTTTCTTTATGAACTAATCATTCATAAAAACTAAATTGAACCTGTAGTTTCATATTTAGTGCCTTTGAAACCTGAAGTTTTCATTCAAAACTTACCACATGAAACCTGTAGTTTTCATGTATAAATTAAACCAATACATGTCTATAGACCCTGAATGTTCTACGATATATGTCTATGGATCACCATATGATTAATCATGTTTTTTGTACCCTTCGTTTTAGGGACATGTCGAACTTGAACAAGCTCGATTTCACCGCTCTAAAAGTATCTGGAAGAAATTACCTGAAGTGGTTTCAAGACTTGAAGCTCCATCTTACTGCTATAGTCGTTCGGACTTTAGATGCTAAACAAGATCCCTTCCGTCCAAATGAGGATGAGGAAGAGATCTTGGAACCCGAAGTTCCTTACCTAAGTGCAATTGGGGCTTTATTGTATTTGTCTCAATGCATTAAACCCGACATTTTCTTCGTTGTTAATCTTTTGGCTAGATATAGCAATGCGCCTACATGCAAGCACTGTAATGGTGTTAAAGACATTTTCTACTACCTCAAGGGCATTAAGGATTTAGGCTTGTTCTATACCCGTGAATCTTCAAGCATTACCGCCCCCCTCAGTTCTTAGATTGATTCTCACCTTGTTGGTTACGCAGATGTTGGATATATGTCTGACCCACATAGGGCATATTCTCAAACAGGCTATGTCTTTACCGTTGGAGACATCGCTATATCATAAGGGTTTACCAAGCAAACGCTAGTTGCAACTTCTTCGAACAATGCTGAGATTTTCGCCTTGCATGAAGCATTGCGTGAGTGCTTTTGGTTGAGAGTAGTTATGAAACATATTCGAAACACTAGTGATCTTACTTCCATCGTTGGCCTTTCTACGACGATCTTTGAAAACAATACAGCATGTATCGAGCAGTTAAAGAATGGATACATCAAGGGAGACAACACCAAGCACATAATGCCGAAATTCTTTTATTCTCACCAGCAACAACAGCATCAACGCATTGAAGTCAAGCAAATCCGTTCCCAGGACAACCTAGCCGATCTCTTTACCAAGTCATTGCCCAAGTTTACTTTTCAGAAGCTCGTCCAAGGAATCGGTATGCGTAAATTATCTGAGTTGAATCGCTTGTATTTCTCTTATTTTGAAGTTATGTCTAACTCAGGGGAAGTATCCAGAAACATACTCACTTAATCTTAATGTACTCTTTTTCCTATGATTATGAGCATTTTTCTCATTGGATTTTTGCTACCTAACAAGGTTTTGATGAGGCACCCATCTTGGGATGATCATACTCCATTGAGTTCACTATTTTCGTCTTGTTTGATGTTTGATGTTTGTTTTAGACATTATGCATACTTCTCACTTTTCTTCTTGGTCTATGGGTTTTTCTCCCATCTTGGGTTTTACCATAGCGAGGTTTTGTGAGTTTTACTACCAATGCATACTTTCTTTAAATTTGAGACTTTGTTCACCAGTTGTGTCGACGACTTCATCAACTATTCTACCTTATTAGCTGAAGATATGATGCGATGGTTTGTTGAGTATTTATACACTTAAGGGGAGTGTTGGAGTCATATTTAGAATAAGAATGTGATTGTGTAAATTCTAGTAGATCTAGGAATATCTCTTATATTCCTATTAGGAGTTGATTACCTATTAAGAGTTGTAATCCTAAAAGGGTAAAGATTTTACCTATCCTACTACTATAAATAAAGACACAATAGGGTGATACAACATACACCTCACAATTAAATCTCTCTCTTCTCTCTTACTACCGCCGGCCCCCTCCCTCTTTATTTCCTTAGAGTATCTCAGTTAAATAGGCCAACAACAGGATCACCCATTTTTCTAGTAATATTCTCTCTTCTTTTTTATTTTTTTAAACAGTAATTAGTAATATTATTAGAACATAATGGATTTGGGCTTTATAGCCAATCCGGGCACAATACAACTCAGCAACGGAAGCCTACCCAAAAACTAAAATATTTGATAACAGCAGCTGTGAATAGTCAGAATAGTGGTGGATGAAGTGGAAGAAATGGCGATGATGATGCAGTGGTGCGGCGCAGCGGCGAGGCGGGTGCTGATGGCGGAGCAGCGCGCCCTCTTCACAACCTCCTCCTCTTCCTCCCTGGCAGCAGCAGCAATTGCAAAAGCAAATGTGCTTGGGGCGCCGATGCTGTGCGGGCGAGGAGACAAGAAGACGAAGAAAGGGAAGCGATTCAAAGGGTCGTTCGGAAACGCTCGGCCGAAGAAGGAGAAGAGGATCGAGCGCATTAAGGACAAGGTTGAGGTCCCCAGGTCCACCCCTTGGCCTCTCCCTTTCAAGCTCATCTGAAATTTTCAATTTTTCACTCTCTTTTTTCTTAGGGTTTTAGCTCCATATATGTAATGTCGAACTCCCTAATTTTAAGTGTTTATGTCATGCCTTGTTATCAAATGGAGGCATTTTTATTTTATGTCAATGCATATTTCTGGTATATATGTTTCTATTGTTAATTTGTTTGTTTGATGGGTGTTATAATTTTGTTGTCTAAAACCACAAACGCATGATAATATTTGAAATTTTGATTGAGAGAGCTACTTACAATGGGCAGACATGAGCGTGGGCAGACATGAGCGATTGTGCTCCCCCGCTTCGAATCCCCCTCCCCGTAGTTTAGATTGGATTAGGATGTTGCTGGAGCTACTTAGAATGGAAATGTAGGGACTTATACTGTTTAACTGTGCTATTCATTCTTATTGGGGTTAAGAATGAAAATGGTGATTGCTGAATTAGTAGGGATTTGATCTGCATACGGTGAAGTACTTCCTTTTCTCAGGAGCCTTTAGCAGGGGATTAGGGTTTAGGGGTTCTAACTTCGGGTTCTGTGGTGGACTTGTAAATTCTATTCTCATAGTGTGTATTTTCAGTATATAATCTTATAAGACCATGTTTCACTTACTTGCTTGAGTAACTTCGAAGATATCTAGAAATAGATTGAAGCAATTTTGTTGGAGTGGAACTGACAAAAAGAGATGAGTGCAATACTAGGCGGAAATATTGAACTAGGTAGATACATTAGAGTTTGGACTGGTGGGTGCAATGTGAGTGTAGCATATAAGGATGGTTTGTGCTTTTGATAAGATGGACACCAACTATTTACTTCAAAATGCTTTATGCATAGGATTAGGTGTCATGAGTTATGATATTCAGTTTGTTGTGTGCGGGGTGAAAACGCATTGTGGTTCAATTTGTGACACTAGCTGCATGCCGATGGTATTATTCCAAACATTGGTATGATTGTATACGGATAATAGTGGTTATGGTAGAGCTTAGTTGCCATGGTACATATTCAAGATGATATTCCTTGGTGTATGCTTTTCGCAGACGATATAGTGTTGATAGATGAAACTCAGGAAGGGGTAAATGCAAAGCTTAACCTTTGGAGAGAAGTGTTGGAATCTAAAGGTCTTCGCCTAAGCCGATCAAAGACAGAATATATGGAGTGCAAGTTCAGTGCAAATGGAGGCCAAAACGAGTTAGGGGTGAGGATCGGAGATCAAGAAATACCAAAGAGCGACCGTTTTCGTTACCTAGGATCTATCTTGCAAAAGAACGGAGAATTAGATGGAGATCTCAACCATAGAATACAAGCTGGATGGATGAAGTGGAAAAGTGCATCCGGCGTGTTGTGTGACCGCCGTATGCCACTGAAGCTCAAGGGAAAATTTTATAGGACAACAATAAGGCCGGCGATGCTGTATGGCACAGAATGTTGGGCGGTGAAACATCAACACATACACAAAATGGGTGTAGCGGAGATGAGGATGCTTCGTTGGATGTGTGGGCACACGAGAAAGGATAAGATTAGGAATGAGGATATCCGGGGTAAAGTAGGAGTAGCCGAAATTGAAGGAAAGATGAGAGAAAATCGGTTACAGTGGTTTGGACATGTGCAAAGAAGGCCTACTGACGCTCCGATTAGAAGATGCGACTATGGTACAGAGGTTCAGGGCCGAAGGGGTAGAGGAAGACCTAGGAAAACTTTGGAAGAGACTCTAAGAAAAGACTTAGAGTACTTGGATCTAACGAAGGACATGACACAGGATCGAGCACAATGGCGTTCTAAGATTCATATAGCCGATCCCACTCAGTGACTTGGATTCTCCAAGTCTCCAACCGAGAAGTTTTCCTCACTCGGGAAATTAAGGGAACACTACCCCAACCTACATGCTCCACTCAGAAAGCTTCAACATACAAGCTTCAACAAAAAGAAAATTCAAAGAACTTAGCGAAGAAGGCTTTGGTGTATTTAACACAATACGTTGAAATGAAGGAAAGCTTATTTATTGATATCCCCGATAAGCTACAAATATGTACATATACATGAGTCAAAATAAACAAACAAGAGGGAGCCTTCACAAAGGTTGCTTAGGAGAAGTCTCAGCAGTCGGTAGAGCCCCAGAAAGAGAAGGCATCAGAGGGGGATCATTTGGAGCCTCAGTACTGGACAGAACCCTAGAAGGAGGAGGCATCAGAGGTTGATCATTTGGAGCTTCATTACGCGGTACAGCCCCAGAAGACGAAGGCAATAAATGCCTTTGGAACAAACCCACAAATCTCTGATGATCAAGTAAAACCTGACCATCAGTTTCCTTCATCTGGTCAAGCTTCCTCTTCATGTTTGTAGCATAGTCATGTGCGAGCCGGTGCAACTGTTTATTCTCATGCTTGAGCCCTCTAATCTCCTGTTTGAGACTCATCACTTCAGTCGCCAATGATTCAACTTGGCGGGTTCGAGCAAATAGGCGTTGGGCCATATTAGACACAGAACCTGCACACTGAACACACTGAGAGCCAGCGAATCCTTAACAGCTAACTCATCAGACCGTTTGGAAAGTAGTCTGTTATCTTTGGGAGTGAGAAGGTTCCTGGCCACCACCGCAGCGGTCATATCATTCTTCATCACGGAATCCCCAACGGTAAGAGGACCAGTAGGGGAGACGAAGGATGGGCGCCATATGTTGTCTGGAGAAGGCGGGGCAGCCTCTTCAACAAGGTTCAAGTCAAAACGACGGTCGGAGGGGCCAGACATTTTCAAAGGTGTTGAAGAGAGAAGAGGTCGGACAAATCAAGATCTTAGAAGTGCAAGAATGAAGCTTCTACTGGTGGAGATTCAAGTGTGCTTTGGAACTTAATGCCAGCCCCTATAAAAAATCTGCACTCGACGGAGCTTCAGAAATCGAAGAGGCGCCTGCTCAGAAATCGAAGAGGCGTTTGCTTTCTCAAAAGCTGGGCTGCTTAGAGATCACGAGGGTTGATCTCAGAAATCGAAGAGGCGTTTGCTTTCTCAAAAGTTGGGCTGCTCAAAGACCACGAAGGCCGATCTCAGAAATCGAAGAGGCGCTCGCTTTCTCAAAAGCTGGGCTCCCCAGAGACCACGAGGGCCGATCTCAGAAATCGAAGAGGCACCTACTTTTCCAGCCTTGTCAGCACCTGTCACACGCACACTCAGCTTTGCGGAAATTATGGGCATTCTGTCGAAGACTTCTGGGGAAGTAGAAAACACATGAATCTTACTGTTCAATCACCCACTTCCCACACGCAACAATAGCTCATGGGTACCACAGATAACTTTGCCAAAGTTCTCTGCCAAAGTTGAGCACGTGAAGCTTGCAGCTCCCACTACATCGCTCTGACCAAGAAGGGTAAAAGAATAGCAAAGAAACAGCACTAACAAAGTTTAGACCCATAAATTTTGAAGGTCTAGCTACCATATTATTACCCGCAAGGGTAAAGGAACAGTACCACTGCTGGATAATTGGAAAGTCCCTGTGTGTCAACCTCTGTGCTTCGTGGCAAGGTAGACTAGCAAACATGCCCAACCTTACTCACATTCGAGAAAACACTCCCAATAAGATTGCTTGCTCCAAAATCGAAGAGGCACCGTCCTCCGAATCTCGAGAGCCAGACTCCCAACATGACTACTTTATTAAAAATCGAAGAGAGGGTAAAGGAACAGTACCATTGCTGGATAATTGGAAAGTCCATGTGTGTCAACCTCTGTGCTTCGTGGCAAGGTAGACTAGCAAACATGCCCAACCTTTACTCACATTCGAGAAAACACTCCCAACAAGATTGCTTGCTCCAAAATCGAAGAGGCACCGCCCTCCGAATCTCGAGAGCCAGACTCCCAACATGATTACTTTCTCAAAAATCGAAGAGACACTGCTCCCCGAATCTTCGAGAGCCAGACCCCCAGCATGATTGCTTTCTTAAAAATCGATGAGGCATCGTTCTCCGAATCAATCGAAGAGGCACTCGCTTTCTCAAAAGCTGGGCTGCTCAGAGACCACGAGGGCCGATCTCAGAAATCGAAGAGGCGCCTACTTTTCTAGCCTTGTCAGCACCTGTCACACGCACACTCAGCTTTGCAGAAATTATGGGCATTCTGTCGAAGACTTCTGGTGAAGTAGAAAGCACATGAATCTTACTGTTCAATTACCCACTTCCCACACGCAACAATAGCTCATGGGTACCACAGATAACTTTGCCAAAGTTCTCTGCCAAAGTTGAGTACGTGAAGCTTGCAGCTCCCACTACATCGCTCTGACCAAGAAAGGTAAAAGAATAGCAAAGAAACAGCACTAACAAAGTTTAGACACATAAATTTTGAAGGTCTAGCTACCATATTATTACCCACAAGGGTAAAGGAACAGTACCACTACTGGATAATTGGAAAGTCCCTGTGTGTCAACCTCTGTGCTTCGTGGCAAGGTAGACTAGCAGACATGCCCAACCTTTACTCACATTCGAGAAAACACTCCCAACAAGATTGCTTGCTCCAAAATCGAAGAGGCACCGTCCTCCGAATCTCGAGAGCCAGACTCCCAACATGACTACTTTCTCAAAAATCGAAGAGAGGGTAAAGGAACAGTACCATTGCTGGATAATTGGAAAGTCCCTGTGTGTCAACCTTTGTGCTTCGTGGCAAGGTAGACTAGCAAACATGCCCAACCTTTACTCACATTCGAGACAAACACTCCCAACAAGATTGCTTGCTCCAAAATCGAAGAGGCACCGCCCTCCGAATCTCGAGAGCCAGACTCCCAACATGATTACTTCCTCAAAAATCGAAGAGACACTGCTCTCCGAATCTCGAGAGCCAGACCCCCAGCATGATTGCTTTCTCAAAAATCGAAGAGGCATCGTTCTCCGAATCTCGAGAGCCAGATACCACAGACCACTTTTTCAAAGTGCTCTGACAGAGTTAAAACATGTGAAACTGACAGCTCCCACTACCGTGCTATGACCAAGCAGGGTAAAGGAATAGCATTACTTACTTGTTGTTAGGGAGACTCCTATATATGTCGACCTCCATCCCCAACGGACAGGCAGACCTGCAAAAATGCTCAACCCTTCATCATATCTGAGAGGGCACTCCCAACGAAGCCTTTCGAAATATTCAGCTTTCTTTCCCCCCGATAATACCTCTGCAAACAAGCTATACTAGAGCAAGAATATCTCATATCATCAGGGTTAAAAGCAAGAGTATCCCATATCATGCTTTTTCCCTGTCTTTTCCTTTGGCCTTGTTTTTACCTGCAAGACAAGGAGAAAGAGAGCAATCAGTCAGCACTTGGAATCAAGCTTCCAGCCAGGAACTGACTGCCTGGAACCCCTTACCTGATTACTTACCTGGCATTGCTCTCGAGTACTCATCTTCAACATCTTATGTTTCCAGGGAAGATTCCGCATCTGCTTGAGGAACAGATAGGGCAAGTGCGAAGGATACAAGGAAGCATGTGGAGACAAGCGTAACAGCACACGTGCCGATACATCCATTACTCTGTCAAAAGCAAAAGTATCCCATATCAGCAGGGTCGAACGTACTCTAGATTTGATGGACTTGTTTTGACCCTCAAATTCTTCAGTCGGCCTTATACTCTGGAGGAAACCAGAAAACCCTCCAGCTCAGTTCAAGAATAAGCCTGTGGAAAGTTACTTCTTCAAAAGCAAAAGTATTTCCATATCATCTCTTCTCATTTTTCTTCTCTTTATCCTTCATGCTGCTTGCAAGATGGGGAGAAGGTGAACAATCAGTCGGAGCTCTGATTGCTTACCTTGTCTGTCACCTCTTTCAGCAGATCCCCTAGCTCGGCGACTTGGGGGACTCCTACTACATGGTTTGTATCGCGCTTGACCAAGCCTGAAACTACAAGTAAGCTTCAAGTGAAATTGATACATTACCTTGTGCATCTCCACCAGTTAAAGATACCACCCCTGGATGGAGGAAGAGTACTTCCAGAGAAGATGCCACATCTACCTATGAGACAGATAAGGCAAGTCAAGACGACACCACACTCCGATATTTCTTAGAAGGTTTCGTGATTACGAGATCATTCTCCCACAATATTTCCTAATGTCATTTGTACTAAATCATTCACTTGTACTCACTAAAGGAGAGCTTGAACCTATGTACTTGTGTAAACCCTTCACAATTAATGAGAACTCTTCTATTCCGTGGACGTAGCCAATCTGGGTGAACCACGTACATCTTGTGTTTGCTTTCCTATCTCTATCCATTTATATACTTATCCACACTAATGACCGGAGCAATCTAGCGAAGATCACAAAAAGCGACCGTTTTCGCTACCTAGGATCTATCTTGCAAGAGAACGGAGAATTAGATGGAGATCTCAACCATAGAATACGAAGCTGGATGGATGAAGTGTAAGAGTGCATCCGGCGTGTTGTGTGACCGTCGTAGGCCACTGAAGCTCAAGAGAAAATTTTATAAGACGGCAATAAGGCCAGCGATGTTGTATGGCACAGAATGTTGGGCGGTGAAGCATCAACACGTACACAAAATGGGTGTAGCGGAGATGAGGATGCTTCGTGAGATGTGTGGGCACACGAGAAAGGATAAGATTGGGAATGAGGATATCCGAGGTAAAGTAGGAGTAGCCGAAATTGTAGGAAAGATGAGAGAAAATCGGCTCCGGTGATTTGGACATGTGCAAAGAAGGCCGACTGACGCTCCGGTTCGAAGATGTGACTACGGGACAGAGGTTCAGGGCCGAAGGGGTAGAGGAAGACCTAGGAAAACTTTGGAAGAGACTCTAAGAAAAGACTTAGAGTACTTGGATCTAACGGAGGACATGACACAAAACCGAGCGCAATGGCGTTCTAGGATTCATATAGCCGACCCCACTTAGTGGGAAAAGGCTTTGTTGTTGTTGTTGTTGTTGTTGTTTAGTCAATTTGCTAGATAAATGTTGCTAATTGATTTATAATGCTAATTTTGATAGAAAGCTAGCGACTTCATGCTTGTCCCCAAATCATTTTGACTCTTGCTAGACATTGAGGGCAAACCTTATAGGTATCTTTGGTTTTCGGAGTACCAATTGTGGATTGCCAGATGGTTCATAAATTGGTAAGGAAATAAATGATAGGGCATGATCATAGAGCATCTGATACCAAAAACCTTTCCATCTTTGTAGCTGATGCCCTGGAGCCATAATCGCAGCTTAAATCGGAAAATATAATGTTATTTACACATGGTGTGGTGTATTATAGCAGTGTCAAACAGAACATTTGACGTTTATTTTGCGTACTTGTTGATTTACATTTTCATTGTTCTCTGTCGTTTGCAACTGCTTTGTCAACTCCACTGCTAGCTCTGCAATTATGCAGAGTCCGATGATAGAATAAGTGAAGCCAAACATGATAGTCACGACACCAACTGGCGATGCTAGAGGATAATATTTGCCTTCTCTTCTAGGTTCAGTTGCAAGCCTAAATCCAGTTTTGATTGCCCATGCCAGCATGATCATTGCGATGATACTCACAACTATGCGGCTGACAATGCATATCGTCTTCAGCTTCCCTGCTGCATCATTAGGAATCGAGTAAGATGAGAAGTTCAGATGAATGAAATTTCATTAATTAGTTTTGGAAGGTGTTAATTTAACTATCCTGGTTTCATACATCCCCGCCCCTCCTCTAGGCTCTCTCTCATCATCTCTCTCATCATATGATGAGAGAGAGTGAGGAGAGCGGGTGCATGAAACCGTTGTGTAAGTTTCCTCCTAGCCTGAAACTAACACCTTCTGCTTTGTATTAAGTTCTCGTTTTCGGTGTTGGTTGCGTTACCTTGAGCTTGAGGTTTCCTGGACTCCTCCTGCCTCTTCTGCAATTGTTCCGAGAGTTTCATAACCAAGTTTGCTAGTAAAGAAAGACCAGCAGCCAAAAACAAGAAACCGAGAACTAGAGTTAGAACTCCGACGCAGAATGCCCAATTGTTCGACTCCCGCTTTATCCCCGGCGTGTCTGCAACTCCAGATTCGGACCAAATGGTCCACAGGAACAGAAGTACCATGACAAGAGACGTCAACACAGAAAACAATGTTGCACATAGGGTTTTGGCATCTCCGATGGGCTTCCACCCGAAGGCTCTTATGCCTTCTTCCTCCATCTTCGGCCGCCGGACGGAGTTGGAAGAGAGGAGAAGAAAAACAGAGAAGAAACAGAAGAAATGGTTTTGGCACTGAGAAACTAAAGTGGGTTTTTTGTTTATGGGTCAGCCGAGATAAGTGGGGGTTAGTTGGGTCATCACATAATTCAAAAATAAACAAACATGAAAGCGATGGTGGTAATTAACCA